CAGCAATTTATAGCAGAGACAGGTCACCTCTCTAGGGATAACATCTAGGCCTCAGTTGTATTTCCGCTCCAGTCCCAGAAAAGCAGCAAAACCAGGTGGGCGATGCCAGGACCAGCTGCAATGACTAATGACCCCTGCCCTGGTGCTGACCAATCAGTGGAGACCATGACCCTGAAAGGACACACCTGGAAAGCTAATTATTATTTTATTGAAATTCTCCCCTAAGTTCCCAACCTTTAAAACCCTCAAAACAAAGGACCCAGCAAGTGCTCTCTCTCCTGGGAGCATGCCTTTGTCTTTCCCTCCCCATTCCCATCCCCCCACAGGCATGCACCTCCTAAATTCTAAGGGACCCCAAAGCTTGCAACCAGGGCAGCAATGGTGAGTGGCAGCTCCTCCCGGGCTAACCCTCTGAACCTGTCTTTGACTTTCTTGTGAGCTCTAGCAGCCCCGCCTCAGCTCATTTCTTTCACTATGACTTTTATTTTTCAGTGAGCCAAAGCAGCCCAGCCCAGGCTCTCTCCTGTTGCCTCTTCTACCCTAAGCCCTTTCTTGTTTCACTGTCCCCAGCTTTAATAAAGATACCCTAATAGTCACCTGGACTTGTCTTGTGAAATCTTTCCTGCACGAAGTCAAGAAACCACACACTACCAGCTGACCCTAGGCAGACCTTTTGATTTTTGCTGAAAGAGGTTGAAGGAGTCAATATCTTGACATCCACTCAACCCCGAAGGATTACCACACATGGACATAATCATCCCATTGCCTGCACCAGCCACGAGATAGAAATGGCCATGAGAGCCAACCTCAACTATGATATGATGGGAGCTGTCTGCTAAGGAGCCTTCCAGCAAAGAAGTCTTCAGTCATTGGATGGGGACAGGGAGAGCTTGACTTTCTGCTCTTCTTATGAATGCCGCCACGTCTAGATGTGATGTGATTCCTGGCTCCTGGCAGCCAGTTGTGTCACCGAGGGGGCTTGTCTGAGGGCATTGCTGACAATTATTGAGTGCTGTGTGCTCAGTATGAAATTTTTAAAGATTTTTCTTACCTTAGTTCAGTCATCAATTCAAATGGAGACTGAAGCCAAGAAATAAATGGAAGGCTGAGGCTCAGAAGGGCAACAATAGAAAAATTAGAAAAGATAACCAAAAGCAAAGATGTGTCATTAGAGACCAAGGCTTAAATCACCTACACCCTCATATTCCCAATTACTATATACAGATGTGAAAATTGGATAGTGAAGAAGGCTGATAGGAAAAAATGGATTCATTTGAAATATGGTGTTGGAGAGAGCTCCATGGGATACCCTGAACCACCAGAAAGATGAACAAGTGAGCCTACAGCAAATTAAGCCTGAAGCATTGCTGGAAATAAAAATGACAAAACTGAAGCTGCTTCAGGCTCATTACGAGAAGGCAGGTTCTTTGGAAAAGACAATAATGCTGGGAAAAGCAGGAGGCAGCAGGAACAGAGGAATCCCAAGCATGAGCTGGTTGGGCTCCAGGAAAGAAGCCAGTGGTGCGAGTCTGCAGGGGCTGAGCAGGGCTGCTGAGAACAGGACACTGTGGACATCACTCATTCATGGGGTCACCAGGAGTCAAAACTGACTCAAGGGCACATAACATAACTGTGCACCAGGCAGACGCTGTGCTGAATATATGACATCAGTTGAATGCTTTCTAGATCTTTCTGTGCCCCGGGTCCTGGAAACATAATAGAATCGGGCTTGTTCCCACCCTCAAGGAGACCCCAGCTGGGGAGGGAAGTGGGGTCAGATGATTGGCAGCACAGCATGGGGAATAACAGCAGAGGTCCAGGGGGCTGGAGGAGCATCCTCCCTCCCTGCTCACCTGTCTCTTCATCTCATCATTATATGACACTCTTTCTCCTCACGGGCCCTGTGCCAGCTTTCCCCCACAGTGACAGCGGCACATGTGGATGCAGCACCTTCCATCTGTTAGTTCATTTTGTCCTCAAAGAATCCTCATGAAAAAAGTTTCCTCCTCTTTCCAGTCAGGGAAACCAGGACCAGGGCAATGACAGTGCCTACAGGGGCTTTTTATTTTTTTAAATATGTTTTGTTGATTTCTAGAGAGGAAGGGAGAGGGATAGTGAGATAGATATATCGATGAGAGAGAGGAACATCATTGACCGGCTGCCTCCTGCACACCCCCTACTGGGGATCGAGCCCGCAACCCAGGCATGTGCCATGACCAGGAATTGAACCAGCAATCTCTTGGTTCCTGGGTTGACACTCAACCACTGAGCACACCAGCCACGCTTTTTAGATTGTGCATTTAGCTTGTCAGCATGAGCAGGCCTTAACAAAGTCTTAACTTGTTCTAAAGTTATCACTTGTTCCCCAGTTGTTACAGAGGATATATGAAATCTTATGCTAATCAACAAAATAATATTATTGAATAAATAACATATAATTAACAATGTTTCTCTCCAAATCAGGGAACAGACTGTATGCTTTAAAACAAAGGCCCAGTTTGTCACGCCTGCCATAAATTGCTAACAACCTTTTGAGCATATTACAGGAACTAGCTTTGGAGAAGGAGGCTGACTCTGCAACCAGACGTTCTGGCTCTGGGAGACCTGCTGATTCTCAACCATAAAAACTGGACCTCCGCTTGATCTATTTATTGCAAGATAATCATCAGAATGGACTGTGCTGACTTACATGTAAAGAACGTTCAACTCCTCTTCCCCCTGATTTTTTTATTCTGCTTTTCCTCTCCTTCCTGATAAGAACCCTTGCCTGCACTGAGATGTTAAGATGGGCTTTGGGACGAGAGTCCCCCTTCTTCTCAGGTGCTCGGCACTTTAATAAACCACTTTCTTTCTCAAGAGCGCCTGTCTCAGGAGTTTGGCTTTCATTGGGGCAGGCAGCCAAACCTTGTTCAGCTACACAATCATTTATGCACCCAGTCATCTCCCTTTCCCAGGGCTCTCAGTGCAAGGGTTGGCCTCCTCCCTGCTCCACAGAGCCTTCCACATGGTGCTGAGGCCTCTCCCTCACTATCTGCCTCTCCTGCCTTCCCCTCTGAGAGTCAGATCAGCCACTTCCTCCCGGAGAGGACACCCCCACTCACCCATCCACTGCCCAAATGAAAGGCCTCACACATGGTACCTTGTTTATTTTTACAGTAACTTTGTAGGCACTGCTGCACCCATTTCACAGAGGAGAAAAACAAATCCCACTGTGGGTAAGAGACCAGAACAGGACTGCACAGGAGGGAAAGGTGGATCCAAGAACTGACCCCAGCTCTGTCTGATCTCAAAGCCAGCTGAGTGAGAGGTGGGGAGGATGGATTGGGGGTGGGGAGGATGGATTGGTCCAGGAGGGCAGTTTCCACCTGAGTACAAAGAGCAGAGGTGAGGAAAGCAGAGCCTATTTGGGAAATGGTACTTTATGGGGTGTGTACAAAGAAGCTGGGACAGTTAGGCCTGAAGGGGCCACACCCAGGAAGGGATGTGGTGAGTTTAAGGGAGGTGCAACAATCAGATCTGCCAGCAGTACGGCAGGGGATAAGAGGGTAGTTGAAATGAGGAGAGGCTGGGGCAGGGAGGCCAGTGGGGAGGCCATGACCTCCTCCATCAGGGAGTGTCCCTGGACTGAGAAGAGAGCCATGGGAAGCCAGAAAGATGAGGAGACAAGGATTCATGGGAACTTGGAGACTGGCTGGATGCAGCGAACGGGTCGAGGAAGACCTGAGGAGGGGATCTCAGTAGTGCAGGAGCAAGTGCGTCCATGGTGGTGAAAGGAGAGCTCTGGTCAGGAGATGACTGGATATGTGGGTGTGGCCTACAGGAGTGGGGCCCCCAGCACAGAGGGCTGGGCCATCTGGGCTTGCATTTAGGTGCTGCCATTGAATGAGAGGAATTAGGTTAGGCTGTTAATGAAGGCCCACTTGATCATGGAGCCAATGAGTGTCAAGGGAGGCAGTCCTGGGTTGGGATACAGGCTTCACGGTTACAATGGCCCAGCGACTCTACTGTCCTTGCTACATGGAAACCCCACCAGGTCTGCTCAGCCAGGGGAAGGGATGCCGAGATGAGGAGTGTACCACCTTCCTTTGGGAGACCATTTTGTGAGCTGCACGGGACACTGCTGCTCATTCTCTTCCCAAAACATAGTGGCATGGTGGTTTCTGTGCATGCTGGCTGCTCTCTGTCCTACTTAGTCAGAGTTTTGGATCCTAAGGAAGGAAAGGAAGTGACGTTGGGGACATCTGGTCTCCACCAGAGGAACCTTGGGGTGGCTTGCGATCTTGGGCAGCTATCTCATTTCTCTCCGAATCTGTTCCCATGCCTGTGACCTGCCCCTCAGGGCTCTCGGACGTCTGTGTGAGTGCTCTGTGATGGCAGATGGGCGCTCTAGGGGCCTGAGTTGGGGTTGGTGGGGAAGGGCTGGCAGAGGACTAACCCTGAGGGACATGAGCAATCCAACAGCCAGAGGGTGAGGGTGTGGGGAGGTAAAGTGGGGCAGCAGATGAGGAGTTGCCCACAAGGCAGGGAGTTAACAGGGAAGTGTCCAGACTAGAGGTCAGTGAGAGGACTGGCTGAGTAGAGGTGCTGGTGACCCTGGGAAGATCAGCCTTACAGGAGAATGGGCTGGAAGCCAGAGTGGCAGGGAGAAAGGAATAGCTGGCAGAGGGAAAGGTGCTGGGGAGAGAAGGCTGAGCTGGCAATCGGTAACATGCAGATGTGTGGGCAGGGCTGCCATGAGGTCCTACAAGGAAGACACCTATGGGGGCCCTGGACTGGCAGTTGTGGGAAGACACCATGGCCACCAGCCCTGGCCACTGGCTGGTCCCTCGGAGGTGGAAGGGAGGCTTTGGTGGCCAGCCAGAGAAGGGAGATGTAGCGCAGGAGGCTCAAGGGCAGCAAAACAGAGCTTCTTCCCAAACCCACGTAACCAGAAGCAGTCACCAGGGCCTGGGCCACTTCCAGGCAGGACTCATGTAATCCCGGCAATGATCACACACCTCTTAAGAAATTATACAGAGCTTTATTAAATAAACCAAGTAGAAATAAACCTGTTTACATCCAAGTTGTCAGTTTAAGCTCAAGTAATATGCAAGGCACAATTCTTCCTGTCTCCAGCTTTACAAAATCACAGAACAACCCCAAAGGACCGAAGTGGATTCACACTGCATCTCAGAGTCAAACCAGACCCCACACACAGCGCCCACGTGAGACTGGCCCTGGGGTGTGTCTCTAGGTCTACCTGGTGCAGGGCAGAGGGAGTGAGGAGTGGGAAGGAGGGAGGACTTTCCCCATTGTCTTCTCCCTGCCCCTCACTGGTCCGGCTGGGCTGCACCTGCTGGGGAGCTGCCTGGAGACCTGCTGGTAGGACAGAGGCTCGGATCTGCTGAGGTGTGACTGTAGCGGCTCAGATCTGCTGAGGTGTGACTGTCATACAAAAGGAGGGACAAATAACACTGGGTCTTTGTGCGTGGGAATATGGAGGCTTCTCCAAAAGAACACAAAGATTCCTGACTCCAAGGACATTTCTTCACGATGATTCCAAGGTTCCTGTGCGGACAGAGAGCTTGGACATCCCCAGGGGGCGAGGCTGACTCCAGATGTTTCCACAGGTCAGGAAACAAAGAAACACAAAGGCCAGAAGTCTATTCACAGTGGCCCAAAGAGGGGCCAAAAGCAGCCTGGCTGGTACTCCCTGCTGTGTCTCAGCACTTCAGTGAGGCTGAGTGGGCTCAGGGTCCCACTCGCTGCGGTCCTGAGGCTTCTTGTGCAGTAAACGGGGCAGGCATGGGCACCTGTCATTCACTTCCCTCATTTCCTAGCAGGAGCTGGATCAGGGGAAAAGCAATTTCCACAGGGGAAAAAAGCCCCCAAATAAAAAAGTAATTCAAAAGTCCTTTCCCTGAGACCACTGCAGTAGCATCATCTATAGACAACTTCTAAACAGAGTCTGGCTGCTCAAAGTCTGAGAAGGGAGTGATTGTAGAGACTAGGAAAATGAAAGCACTGTTCAGAAACCCTAGACAACCAGGCATAAAGGGATGAGTCAGAAAGTCCTCGCCTTTGCAAGACTGAAGTAAAACAAACTCCGATATATCAGCAGCAGCCAATGAGCACAGTCTAAACTAAAAATCAGGACAGAGGAGCAGTGGGACTGGGCCGGGGCTGGGCAACCAACCATCAGGGGCTTGCTCCACGCTGGCGCTGCAGGACTGCCCCTGGCTCGATGACTAGTGGGAGGTGTAGGCAGGGCTCCACAGCCCTGAGGGAGGGCTAGCTCGGCGACCAGGAGGCAGTGCAACAGAAGACATCGGGGATGAAGCAGCAAAATCTGGATGAAGAGAGAGACATGTGAGCAAGAGCACAGGGAGAGGGACGCTCCTTAGATTTCTCTGAACAAAGGTCACCAGGCACCTCCTAAATGTGCCCCCAGGCATCTCCTAAATGTGCCCCCAGGCACCTCTGGGGCGCAGAATGAATCCACTGGGGGCTTGCTGAGCTGGCCCTTGGAGGGAAAGAGAGCAGCTGGATGTGCAGAGAGGCCTAGAGTGTGACTCCTGACCTCCTGGACCGCCAGCAGAGTGTAAGAATGGCAGAGAAGCATCTGGCTCATGGTACATGCAGGGAGGGGCTGTCCGACTGTGCAGAGAAAGGTGCATGAACAGACTCCAAGGTGAGCAGAAGGTCAGAGTATCGGGGAGACAATGCAAAGGCCCGGGGGTGGCTCCAGCACCCCGAGAGGGTGAGTGGGGAGGTGTGGTTAGAAAAGGCATGGCGGGGCGGGGCACGGGGGAGGTATGGGTAGAAAGGGCACCCAGGGAGAGTGAGTGGGGAGAGGTGGTTAGAAAGGGTGAGTGCCTCTGTGTGCCTCTGGTTAGCCTACCCGAGTTACAAAGCTAGTGAGCTGTTGACCATCCCATGCCTTTCACAGGTATTAGTTCACAGACCTAGGAGGAGCCTCCTAGGAGACTGTGACTCTGGAGTCCAGCATGTATGTGGGAACCGGCTATCCTGAAAATGCATCTATATACAAAGCTGTGTCCTGACAAAACCTTCACGGAGCCTGTGAACCTAGACACAGTCGGTAGACCCAGTTCCAGGATTTCCTGTGTGGGGGAGAGAACCCTTGAATGGAATCAGGAGACAAGGGCTGCCGTGCACAGCTGTGCAGAGTGGGCACTGCACAGTTTCAGGGACACCACTTACAGAGAGAGGTGCTCCCTGGAGTTGTGCAGAGTTGCCAGGGCCTCAGTGCCACCAGAGACAATGGGATTGTTAAGGGGAATGGGCCTTGGCATTGTTGCCCACCTGGGAAATCCCTCATCAGGACTACCCAGAATCCTTGTCTCTGAGTCGGCCAGCCCAGCCCCAGCTTAAAGTCCACTGCAGTGCCCAGCAGACGGGAGCCAGGCCTAGTGTGCACACCTGCAGAGACAGCGCTCCCTGCCACCAGCCCCTCCACCCTGCCCAGCTCTGTCTGCGAAAGCTCTCCTGGCCCAGGACCCAGGATCAGCGTTGGAGCCCACGGTTCACTCCCATGAGCTCCCAGATCTGCCTTCCTTTGTGCCCAGCACCACGCCTGCTGAGACATGGGGTCTAGGGCCTCAACTGCCACTTCTCCCCAGGACTCCTCTTCAGCCCAGTTCTGACTGCCTGGGCTTTCAGGGGGCTACTCACAGTGGGAGCTGTGCTGAGGGCTGGCTCGGTGGGACAGGGCTGGTGGGGCAGTGAGCTCCTGGGGGGCATAGACCGTGTGGTAAGCTGCAAGACGGAATACATGGCTGGTTAGAGCAGGATGGGCATGGGGGCGCAATCCAAGGGACATACATGGCCTGCCTCACCTATGATCATGACTGCGGTCCCAGCCAGCAGGGCAAAAAGTGTGAAGAGCATGACTTGGTAGGAATCCAGGAAGTGCTGGAAGAGGCCGGCTCCATCTGTGGGCAGTGAAGAGACAGCTTAGCACATTGCCCTGGAACCCTTGAGGGTCCGTGTGCATGGCCAGAGGGTGAGGGCCTGCTTGAGGCCAGAAGCAGTGTCTGGTCCGTGGGCTGTCTCCCTGTGCTCTGTCCCCTTCTACTTGGGCTGCCTGACCCGCCCTGTTCCTCCAGACAGTCGGCTTCCTTGGGACGCCCTCCTCATGGAAAGGCCCCACACTGCTCAGCAGGAAAGCTGAGGGTACAACAGGCCTGTCTAGGAGAGTTAGGGGGCATGGGCTGCCCAGGATCAGCCATGCTGCCCCAAAAGGCAGAGCAGTGCTGAAAATGACAAGAAGTGAGTTAGCACCACAGCAGCGGAGGGAGGTCAGGGGCAAAGGCCCTTTACAGGGACCCCACTGCTCTCAGAGCTGAGGCTTCTGCCCCAAAGTCTGCACGTGGCCCCAGGGTCTCTGACTACATCGCCCACCCACAGCCATTCATCCTTCCAGACTTAGCTGAAGCAGCCCTTTGACCTGCAGCTCCTCCCAGCAGAGGGGAAACTGCCCATGTGCTGCCCCATCCGCAGCCACATCTCTAGAAACATTCCCTTGTTTCTGTAGTTGGGATCCATGCCTCTCTACTGGGGTTGGGAGAGGGAGGGGGGAGCGCTTTTCAGGCATCTGCCAGCATGGGCTCTGGACCACAACAGGTGCAGACTTAACAAATATGTTCGCTAATGAGCACCCTAACTGTATGGAGGGGCCTGTTCTAAGTGCTGTCCTCACATCCTTAACTTCCAGTGGAGGAGACGGGCAGCAATCACTACACTCAATGGCGCCAGCTACTGCGCGGGCTGGCAGCTGGCAGCGGTGCTGAGGAAGCATGCGGTGTTTGGAGTGAGGGTTGATGTTCAGATTCTAGGAGAAGGTGCCATTGGAGGAAAGCTTTAAAGAAGGTGGGGGTTTTGGCCAAGGGGAAAAACACATCCTACAGTGAAGAAACAGCAAATGCCAAGGGCTCTAGTTGGGAGCTGCACATGTTCCAAAAACAGGAAGGAGGTCAGTCTGGCTGGAGCAGGGTACACAAAGGGAAATGAGTCATAAATGGGTTAAAAGGGCAGGCCATGTGAGGCCCTTGGGGACCTTGGAGGGACTTGGGCTTTATCTCCCAAGGAGATGGGAGTCATGGCAGAATGCTGAGTGTAGGAGGGGTGCAATCCAATCACATTTTAACAGGCTCCCTCTGGCCGCCGTGTGGAGAATGGACTGTGGGAAGCACAGTGTGCATGGCCGCCTGAATGGACGACTTTCACTTTGTGGGACATTCTACATTTTTATTCCTCCAGTTCCCCCTCTTTCAGGTTTCCACTAACACCCAGGGCAACTCCAGTCCATCTCTCCACACCCAGGTCCGTCCCAGCTATTGTCCCATGACTCACAGGGGCCAGGCCCTCGGCGATCCATCACAAAGGCCACGGTCACTGGAATGGTGACAGCTTGGCTCGTCATTGGACTGGAGAAGGTCAGAGTAGTAGACAGAGGTCCCTGGCTGCCAGCCGCAGGGTCTGAGATGCCAACTGTGTATGTAACAGAGCTGGGCAGCCCCACAGACTTCTCCTTCTCGAAGACCAGCACTGCTGGGGATCCCGATTTCACCTGGGAGAGACATCAGGATGGGAGGGAAGCACCTCACTGCTCCTGTAAAGCTGGAGGTGGGGACCCTGCCCCGCTCCCGCAGGCTGGGCACTCCTGAGAGCACACCACCTGCCAAGCTAGGGAAAGAGCACACTGTAGACACTCGAGCTGTTTGTAAGGAAAGGACAGGTCCTCATCACTGAATTCCAGTCAAGTTCTCGTTTAAACATGCTAAACTGACATGAACACCCACCAAACACACAACTTTCAAGGGAAGTAGTCTGGAGCTCAAATAATGGTGGATTCCCAGGAGCCCAATCCCAGGGCTCAGCAGACCCACCATGAACAACGCACTCAGCCCTGTCTCTCTCGACTCAGCCATGTTGGCTGCCCTGAGATGAGAAGGAGCAGGCAGAGAAGCCAACACCCTCACACATCCCCCTGCCTCCTCCCACCTGCTGCAGTCGGGGAAATTGAGGCCCAGAGATAGAGACTTGTCCCCAGTTGTATGTGAGTCAGTGACAGGTTATGAATTAGGACATTTATTCCTGCCAAGGTCAGCAGCCTTTGGGCATTGAACCCAATTCATTCAATATATTAACTGTTCACTGAGCACCGTCTCTGTGTTAGGGGCCCTGTGCCAAGTGCCGCTCTCGCACACTTAACTTCTCATTGGGGAAGACCAGCAGGAATCATAATAATCAATACAATTATATAGACTAATAGAGACCAACAGTGCTATGGGGAAAAAAGGGTAAGAATATTAAACATTTTTTTATTTTTAATTTTAAAAAGAGATGATGTAGGATTTCCATGTACCACCTCGCCCTCTCTGCCTCCTGGTCCTTCCTCATGCCCTAGGCTTGTGTGTTGATGCCACTTACTTCCAGGTTCTCCAGAATCTCCATGGTACCAAAGACCTTGACCTCGGAGCTGGTGTAGTGGTTGCTCAAAAGGATTTCAGCCTGGTCAGTGTACAGTCCTGGGCTGAAGGGCACCTCAACCCCAACCTGTTCTCCGGAGAAGTGGCTGCCCCGGAGGGAGGCCGTGACCAGCAGTGCTGTCTTCTTCATGCTCAGGTGCTTCAGCTGCTTGTCTGTCAGTCTGTGCATCATGACCGAGCACAAGTACCGACCTGTGGAGACAAGGGTGTTCCACTTTGTCCCTTTTCCCACCCATGCTCTAATGCTATTCCCTTTCCCTGCTTTTTTAACTGGAGAATTCCTACTCATCCTTCAGAGCCCAGGTGAGGTGTCACCTCCTCCAAGGGCCTCCTAGGAAGTCCTTCGTCACTGTCTCCAGCCCGTTAAACACCCTTTTAATGCCCACCACTCTCCCGCACTGTCTCAGAATCCTCTACTACCCAGATCCCCATTGGATTGATGCTCTCTGGGCAGGAACACCTGGTACAGCTCTGCAGCTGGGCCCAGCCAGCCTGGCTCAGACAAGGGTGACAGAAGGGTGAACAGCAGACTGCATCACCCAGCGCTGGGCTGCAGGTCAAGCTGACTCAGGGTGCAGCTTAGGGCCCCAGGTGCAGAAAGAAGTTCTGAAAAGGCATTAGTTAGGATTATTTGGTATCACCTGTCCTCCATGCCTGACCCAGATAGATAATGAGCTGAACAGACACTGTTGAGCGATGCCTTGGAAAGCATCCTAAACCTCAAACCTGAACCTGGGTTAGGGTCCCTTCAATGTCCATGCCAGCCAAGTGCCCCTAGAGGAGTCCTCCCATGCCTATGCCAGCTAAGCACCCCTAGGCGAGTCAGTTTTGTGGTGGCCCTGTTTCTCTTGGTCAAGTGGCAATAACATCACTCTCCTTGAGGCTGTGTCTTTGAGTAGCCAGGGACTGGGACTGCTGGGTGCCTACTCTGTGCTAAGCCCTGAGCTTAGCACACGCATGTGCTCTCATGATGTATGTCCTGTTCTCAGACAGTGGCTTGGGTGCTGAAGATGCTTTGGTGCTGCGGCCAGAGGGATAGAGTTGCAGAGTGAGCGCAAGAAGAGGAAGCCCCTACCCTAGGCCACTGGGAGCTGCAAACTGGGCTTATGGCCTGCTAACTTCTCCTAGGTAAGACTGGGCTGCATATTTTTTGAAAGAACTGAAAAAATGCTCACTGATCATCATCAGTCATCATCATAACACTGGCAGCTACCACAGAGGACTCAGGATATTTGTTGCATGTAGCAGGAATTATCCCCTGAACCCTCACAGCATCCTAGGTGGGTACCCCTTTCCTGAAACCTAGGAGATGATGCTTGACGTGTCTTGGCCAGCACACCTCAGGCAGGCAGCCACTCCTGTCTATGATGCCGGTCATCAGTTCCACAGCTCTAGTTATGGCACATTGCATAGCCCTCGACTATTCAATAAGGTCCTTCCATCGCTCTCTGGCTTGCTCCTCTCAGAGCCCTGACCTGCAGGTAGAGCAAGGCGCCACCCTCCCCATTTTATGGAGGGATGCAGTCTCAGCACTTACAGGCTCTGAGCTGGGAAGAGCAAAAAGTGATCGAGCTCAGGGTTTCCAACTTTGACCATGTCCGTCTGCTGGATAGGTGGTTGCTGAAAATGGCCATGACCCATCACAGAAACACCCACCTCGCCTGCAGCACACAATGAACCACAGAGCCGGAGTGACAGCATCAATCCTTAACTGGGCTCCTGAAAGACTGCCCCTCTGGACAGACAGCCATTGTGAGTCAACTGCACTGAAGGCAAACCCTCTGTGCAAGTTAATTTCCACTTTCAACCCCTGGAGACTTACCTAGGGCAGCATCGAACGCTGGTTCTGCAGTGAATACATCACAGGCCGGTACATTGAGGATGTCTTGCTTGAACTGGACCTGGCAGCTGATGAGGGATTCCGGACTCAGCTTCTTGATGACCTCCACCTGGGCCACGGAACACTCACCTAGAGATGGGGAGAGGTTAAGAAGGGCTGGGCTGGGCCAGGCTGCCGACCGCCACATCTGGCCCATTAAGGCTTCTACACCTGCCTGAAGAGCCCCAAGATGAGGGAGCAGGGACAGACAGGCACATGGAGGCTGGCCGGGCCACAAAATGGCAACTGCACCCCAAATGCCTTCCATGAGGAGCCCCTAGGGTTCTCCAAAGGTGACAGAACAAGGGTGACAGAATGGTGAACAGCAGACTGCATCACCCAACGCTGGGCTGCAGGTCAAGCTGACTCAGGGTGCAGCTTAGGGCCCCAGGTGCAGTAAGAAGTTCTGTAAAGGCCCTAGCTAGTTTGGCTCAGTGGATAGCATCGGCCTGCAGACTGAAGGGTCCCAGGTTTGATTCCGGTCAAGGGCATGTACCTTGGTTGCGGACACATTCCCAGTGGGGAGTGGGCAGGAGGCAGCTGATCAATGTTTCTCTCTCATCGATGTTTCTAACTCTCTATCTCTCTCCCTTCCTCTCTGTAAAAAATCAATAAAATATATTTTTAAAAAAAGTTCTGTAAAGGCATTATTTAGGATTATTAGGTGTCATGGTTTATAAAAGCGAAGGACAAGTTTTACAGAAGATAGGGATCATTCTGAATCTCAGGCAATTTCAGATCAGAATTTCAGCATTTGTTCTAGAGCTTGGGTCTAGGGCAGGGATGGGCAAACTTTTTGACTCAAGGGCCACAATGGGTTCTTAAACTGGACCGGAGGGCCGGAACAAAAGCATGGATGGAGTGTTTGTGTGAACTAATATAAATTCAAAGTAAACATCATTACATAAAAGGGTACGGTCTTTTTTTTTTTTTTTTAGTTTTATTCATTTCAAACGGGCCGGATGCGGCCTGCGGGCCGTAGTTTGCCCACGGCTGGTCTAGGGGAATGGGATGTGGGTGGGTCAGGCCTGCTAACGCATGTCTGTTCCTGTCAGTGGGGAAAATGGGCAATTGATATCTGGACATCAGGAGGGCAACAGTTCCCCTTTGCTCACTGGCACTGAGGTAGGAAGAGAGGACTGTGATGCAATAAAGCTGCCTCATTAATTAGAACAAAAACAGTTCTGATTAATTCCACCAGTGAGGTTTTTTTTAAAAAGCCTTAATTGATGTATTTATTTCTGGAAGCTGCTGTCCAGAGCTTTCATGGGCAGGGGATGGGATTGGATGTTCTGTGTATGACTTGGGACAGGTAATCACAAAACGCCACGTCTGCAATGAGGCCTGCTAAGCCATTCCTTTCTGGGATTCGTGGTGGTCAGTGTGGCTTTCTGTATCTGCTGCCCTAGGGCTGAAGTCGAATTTCCAGCTAAGAAACACAGTTTCTGGGGGCCAGGCTCTTTTGGGAAGATTGCTTTCACAACTTCTGCTTGTGGATCACTCGAATTTCTAAAATGCTGAAAGGAGCAGGCATCTGGGGTTAAGTGTTCTCTCTGGAGAACACTTGAGTAGGAAAAGCACACAAAACCCATTAGAGGGGCATAAGAAGCCCCCTTCCCGCTCCTGGAGTCTGGCAAGTTCCCTACCCAGACTGCCCGAGTCCCACTCACTCTCTACCTCTCAGGTTAGAGCTTCTGTCTCCCACGGTGACCATCACTTTGAAGGTTGTGACCTCCTGGAAGCTGGTCTGGACAGGGTGGATGCGATGGGCTTGAATCCTTTGAGGGACGCCAATCACTAGCTAGAAGGAAGCCAAGGGAACTTCACTGAGTGCTGTGTTTTTATCTCAACTTGTGGCCTGGGATGCAGGGACTGCCCATTTCACAGGTGATAAAACCGAGGCTCAAAGCTTAAATTATGTGCTGGAACAGGTCAGACTCCATAGCCCAGTGCTCTCCCATTGAACAGGAGCAGGGAGCTGAAGAGCAGGCCTGAAATGGTCATCGGTCTGGTATGGGCTGTGGATTTTGGCTCCTGTGACAGGTATCATCACTTCTCTGTTCATCAATTTGGTTAATTAATCTTTCAGCACTTTGCAGACAGGGCCAGGGCCTTGGCCCCATTCCCCTGTTGCTCTGGTGTGCCCTGCCTGTTCCCACCCACATCCAAGTCTTCAAGACCATCACTGTGCCGTAAGCCCCACCCCTATTTCCAGCTTTTTGCCCTGGAGCTCCAGACACACACACCCAGCTGCATCCACCGCCCCCCAAGCCCCTCCTGGAAGAGCTCAAACTCATCATGCCCCAAAGTCACTCATCATCTTCCCCCAACTGGCCTCCCCTTCTATGCTCCCCTCTCACAGCAAAGGACCATCTACCTCATCACCCAAGCCAGACCCTGGGGAGTCATCCCCAAGGCCCCCTTCTCCCTCATCCCCTACTTCTAAATAGTCACCAAACTTTGATGACCCTACCTCCTGAATCTCTTCTAAAGTCATCTTAGTTTCTGCCCACACAATGGTGCCAGCTGAGGGCCCATCTTTGGTCTCCTGGCTGCTTACTCTGCAGCTACTCCTCCTCTCTTGGGCTCTTAGACTCTGCTGGGCACCAGGTGATTGTTCCAACACTTACTGCTGATCCATGTCACTCTTTGATTAAAAATTCCCTGATGAACCCCTACTGCATCTAGTATAAGCTTCAACCCCTTTACCCTGGAACAGTACAACTAATACCTACTGAGCATTTGCTACGTGCTGAATACCATTCTTAGTGCTTCCCACATGCTAACTCATTATTCTGCATCCCCATTTTACAAATAAGAAAACCAAGGCACAGGGAGATTAAATAACTTATCCAAGGCCACACAGCCTCTCAGCGGGTGGTCCAGCTGGGATTTAAACTCAGGCAGCCCGGCCCCAGAGCCTACACACTTAACCACTCCATGGAACTAACTACCTGAAATTAATGCAGTTCATGATCTAATCCCAATGCAAGCCTCCATTCCCCCACATCCTATATTCCAGCCACCAGGACTGGGCTCTTGAACCCTGCACACCTTTGCCTATGCCATGCTCTCTCTGTCAGCCTTCCTTCCCCAGGTCCCGCCCTTGACCACTCTAAGTAGCTCATTCCAGGAGAGCACGGCTTTATTAGTCCCCAGGTGCTTCTCCCTGCACCCAGTTGGCCCAAACTGCAGAGTTGCAGCACTAACGTGCAAGCTCCTGGGTGATGTTGCTGGAGTCCATACAGGCAGGCTGGCTCTAGGGATACACTGGGGTGCAACCAGACGTGCTCACTGATTCATTCTCAACTGGAGATAAACAGAAGAGAGAGCAGTTTTGTTTGCCTCCAGAAAGACTCAAAAGGTCACTTGTTGGAGAAGGTTTAACTTTGCCAGTGATGCCAAATCGCTAGGCTGGCCTGCCCACAGCCACAATGCCCAAGAAACGCCCATACAGGGCATTCCTGCCCTTCCAGGCATAGCGTGAATCAAATAGATGGACCAACCCTAGGAGATCGCCTCTTATCATCACACAATTTGAAAATAGGGAGACAGAGGCCGGAAATGAAAGGACACTTGTCCCAATCCCAGAAGTAAGTGGGTGGCAGACCCCAGACTTATCACTCCCAGAGCTTGACTGCCTCCCAAGGCACTGACAGTTATTTCTTAGAGAAAAGGGAATCATTCAGTACCAAAAACTGAAAGTTTTACCCCAAGAAGTTCAGCTATGCCTCTGGGGCCACTGAGTCATGTGTGTCCTGAAACCCACCTCCTTGTAGGTCCTCAGGTGCCCAGCAACCTCGTAGTAAACCGTCACGGATCCTGCATCCCGGGCAACGGCCACTCCTGTCTTGGGGTCTATGTGGAGGATGCTGTTGTCCGAGGAGCTCCAGGTTCCAGAGAGACCTGGGGGAGAAAGCCCCAGGTGTCACCTATCTTTCCCACATCTGACACACCTACCAAACCCCACCTCACCTGGTGATTGTGCCAGTCTTCACGCTGTCCTGCCCCCACACTCACATCTCATCTCCCTCAGGATAGAAACTGTGCTCTGCCTGCCTCTGCAGCCTGGCTCACCCACTCCCCTCATGTTCCTGGCTGCAGCCACCTGGAACCACCAGCAAGTTCTACCATACCTGCATATTGCACAACTGTAGCCCTGCCAAGAAGGATCCTCCGGCCCCTCCCACCCCCAACCCCTCCCTGCTTGTCTCTCAGTCATTCCCCCATCCTGAGATGACCTGGGTGCTGGCCCCACCCTCTACATGCTCTTCCCCACAGCACTGTCCCTGGCCCCCATTATTTATTAGTCCTTTTTGACCAAATAAAGCAGGTGTCAGGCTCAGAACTGTCACCAGACAGTATTTCTTAATTAAAAGTTAATTACATCCTATATAATAAAAGCCTAATATGCTAAGTGTCCAGTCGTCTGTTCAACCAATCAAAGTGTAATATGCTAATGATATGCTAAAGCTGCTCAATCGCTCACTATGATGTGCACTGACCACCAGGGGGCAGACAGTCGACTGGTTGACCAGTCACTATGATGTGCACTGACCACCATGGGGTAGACGCTCTGACCGGTAGGTCAGCTTGCTGCTAGGGTCCAGCCGATCAGGACTGAGCGAGACAGGCCGGACACACCCTGGAGCCCTCCTGTGGTCCCTCCCTGACTGGCCAACCCCCCGCATCCCTCCCCAGCTCCGATCGTGCACCAGTGGGGTCCCTCGGCCTGGCCTGCACCCTCTCGCAATCCAGACCCCTTGGGGATGTCAGAGAGCCAGTTTCAGCCTGATCCCGCAGGCCAGGCCGAGGGACCCCACTGGTGCACGATCGGAGCTGGGGAGGGATGCGGGGGGTTGGCCAGTCAGGGAGGGACCACAGGAGGGCTCCAGGGTGTGATGCACGGGTAGGGTCCCTAGGCCTGGCCGATGATCAGGGCCGATCTGTGGGGTGACCGATGGGGCGATCAACGGGCCCTCACTGGCACCCACGTTGGCTGGCCTGGCGCCGCCTGCTCACCAGCCCTGCCCCCTGCTGCTGGTCACCTCCCTCTGCGGGGCAACCGGTGGGGCTATTGGGGGCCCCTGCTGGCACCCCACCTTGCTTGGCCTGGGGCCTGCGAGCTGGGGGCAGCTCCTGCGTTGAGTGTCTCCCCCTTGTGGTCAGTGCACGTCATAGCAACTGGTCATCCCGCTGGTCAATCTGCCGTTTGGTCAATTTGCATATTAGGCTTTTATTATATAGGATAAAATTAAAAACTGAACAACCACAGTCTATTTATGGCAACTTATATTTGCTTTTCTTTAAAGGCAGTGTTTACCTTCCTTTTAAAAGGAATTTAATTAGGTAAAAAAAAATAGCCAATTTGAAAAAAATTTAATCAATAATTGTACATGTAGTTCATAGATGTACAGGTGGCATGGGAAGGACTGAAATTTGGAAGTCACTAAACTGGCCCAATAGCTATTCTTTGCTTAGGTTTCCTTACAGAGGCATGCTGGCCACATGATAGCTGCCAGCATAAAACCAAACGAAACGTTCAGTTCCTCAGCTGCATTAGTTGCATTTCAAGTGTTTACCTGCTAGTGGCTATTGTGTCAGACAGTGTAGACACAGGGCGCTTCCATGTTGGCAGAATACTCCTGGACAGGGTTGCTTCAGGGCAGGGGTGGCAAAGGGCCATATATTTGGGGCTGTGTGTGCCCAAAGGTCTCCTATGCCACCATCCAAACTGAAAGTTGGGTGAAAATGGCTATTGACAAGTAAATGAATGGGTGTTGCTGAGTTCCAATAAAATTTTATTTGCAAAAAACAGGCAACAGGCTGGCTGTGGCCCAAGGTGGCAGTCTTCTGACTCCTGTTCTAGAGCATCATCCGGATTCTACATGTACGTCTCCCACAGCAGGAAGCTGAGCACCTCCCAGGGAGACCACTCCCATCTTTTTGAGGGGCCGTGTCTCACAAGGGAGGGTGCCTTCAGCCAGTGTCTCTCTTACCTTCTAGGCTGACCAGAACAGTGGCCAGACAGAGGATGTCCCCCACCACCACCGCTCCAGACAGCTCCGGAGAGATGGCGTGTAGGACAGGCAATGGGACAAAGTCGAAGAGGCCTGCGTGCTCCGTGTCCCACACACTGAGCAGCGTCAGGCCCACGCTGACAGTGCGAAGGATGCAGGTGTTGTTGGTTGTGCCCTTCCCGATTTGCACAAACTCGTCCCTAGGCACAGAAGGAATATGAGGGCTCTCAGTGTCAGGAAACAGCCCTGACTTGAGGGAGAAATGCAGCATCAGTCCTCTGCTGGGCAATACTTTTTGCTGAGCAACAGCCCAGATGTCACTCCAATGCACGGCCACCTAGCAGGTGCTCCAGGTAAGAAAGCACCACAGGCCCAACAAGCCTGCCCTCACCTCATCTTCTGGAGGAACCCGCAGCCTTAGCCAGGAGCGGCTGCATCGCCACCCACACTACAGAAGGAAAAGGAGAGGCCCCGAGAGAAAATTGGCCTGCAGAGTGCTGTCAACAGGAAGTGGGCATGTCCTGGGGAGGCACAGACTGCCCTTTGCGGTGTAGCCTGAACAAGTAAAGTAGCCTCTGCACTCTCATCTGTAAGATAAGTATAAGAATGAACCCTTGTCACAGGCATGGTGTGAGCACCAAACTAGATCAGCAGCTAGAGGTGCTCAGACTAGTGCCTGGCAACAGTTCGATCCACACCGGCCAGTGTTGTCCAGTGTGAAGGCTTGGACTGGGAGGCTGTGGGTTAGGGTCCCTGGCTTCATCACTTCCTTCCACCACACCTTCTGACTCCTGAACCCTGACTGCTCTCTTAGAGGCTCCTACTACACAAGGGCCAGTGTAGCTTCTGCATTGTATCGAGGGGCTGCCACACCCAGCTCCACCTCCTACAAGGCAGCCTGCACCCCAGACTGACAGATGTCCATATTGTGTGCACAAAACTCCACAGCTGGCAGAGGCCCTCACACCCACAGCCTCAGTTGCCACGTTCCCCTCTTGACAGGTGTGAAAACAGAGGTCTGGAGAGGTGACCTGCCTTGCCCAAGCTCACAGGCCTATAAAGAGCAGAGCTGGGCTAGAACCAGGTCTCACTCTAAACCCAGGTTTTCTGACCATGCCATACCTCCAGCGTCTGGCATTGGGTGTCTTAGCAATAGGGGACACATCTGTTCCAGGGCGCCTGGAAAGGCCGGGCTGCAATGGTCATCAGAACCTGGACTGTCTTCCGTGCCCCCACCCCAGTGCTGCCTAGAACTCCCCAGGCCTATTCCACCCTCTTGGTCTGATGCTTCTCTCTCCTCCTCTGAGCTGGGACTGCATCCCCCTGGGCCGTAGTGCTCAACCTTTAGTCTCATAGAAGCCTCATTAAAATAGAGATCGTTGGGCCCTGGCAGTGTCATTTCTAAGAGTTCTCCAATGATGCTGATGATGCTGATCTGGGGACCACACTTGAGAACCACCTCTCCCACGGACTCAGGAGTTTTAGTAGGCCTAGACTGAGGCCACCCCCTCTCTCCTCACATTAGGCCTGAGGCTGCAGTTGTATTTCAGAAGAGTCATCCAAAAAGAATTGCACTTGGAGCTGGTATTCAAGCCTCACTTCCTGGCTCTGTGACCTCTCTGGGTCTCAGCAATGGGCCACAGTGAAGAACGAGATGTCAGTAGAAGAGCCTGCACACAGCCTGCAGCCAGGGAACACCCGAGCACCCGAAGGCGTGTGCCTCATTTGCTCTGACCAACTTTTGTGAGTCTATAATTGGTGATGTGCATCCACGGGTTACAGGGCCTAGACATGGACAGGGCTGTCTATACCTCCCTTGCTATCCAGCTTTCAAAGGTACACAAAAATATTACTATAAACCCTCCAACTGCAAAGCCCACATCTGTGTTTTGCTTCCTGACCATCAGAGAACATCTCCACCCAATAACATCCTGCCACAGAGCAAACAAAGGCTCCCAACCACACTTCCCTCACTCCTCCTGCCTCTGGGCCACGCCTGGTGCTTCCCCTGGTGGCCCTTTGAGAGAGGCATGCCCCCTCTTCCTAGAAACTCTAACAAAACTTTTCTTTCAATGCCCTTAGCTTCTTCGTGTTGTCATCAGTCACATCTATAAATTAAATGTAGGTACAATCAAGACATAACTTTGCATGAGAAAAGAGCAGCACCCACACCCTACCTGTTAGTTGCAAAGTTGAGGATCGAATTGTGAGCATGGAAAACATCTCCAGAGTTGTCATGAAAATGGACAGTGAAGGTCACAGTCATTCCCAAAGGCAGGGCAGCCAGAGCCTCATTGTTCCGGGTGTGCAGGGCAGGGCTCAGGGAGATCCTCAGGTAAGACACCGGAGCCACCTGAAGGACAATAAGCAGATATGGCAACGACTGTGTTGGTAAACCCACCTCCCAAGAAGGAGATACTTGTCCCTAGCTGGTCCCCATCTCAGGGAGGACTGGGGGCCCGACCAACAAAGAGCAAAGGCCTTGCTCCCCAGAGTGTCCCAACCTAGTGACGAGGTTCCCACCTCCCTACACAGTGAGCCAACTTAACCCACAAGAGTTAAAATCTATGACTTTGAAAATTAGATCATTATTCACGTTGCAAAGATATCCTGGGCTTTGACTGTTCTGTCCTCAGAAGCCCAGGCTCTATGGCATTTAAAATAGAACGCTGCCTGCTTGGGTTGTAGAGGCAGCGTTGACTGGAGATACTACACACCTGAAGCTGCTCCGGGGAAAGGACCGATGGGGAAAGGCGAGAATGATGGGTTTTGGGAGTGGAAGCCCAAGAACCTGAGCTCCATAAAGATCAGTCTTGCTTCTCTAATTCCAGGTGAAATCTACCCTGAACAAAAGCTGGCTCCCCAAAGGCCTGATATCTTTGACAGCATTCAGAGGTGCAGTGACTGGCACACAGCTGGTGCCACGAGCAGTCAGTCACTTCCACTCACTCAGAAACTAGGGTGCAGCTTCCCTGCCAGGCACTCACCTTGAAACAAAGAGCCATTACTTAAGGAAGTAGGCCTGCGACCCAGGGAAAATCTAAACATAAAAACAGTCATGTACTTTCTCTGTCATCTAAGATTTAGAGATGGCAGTGATGAGATATGGAATATCTCACGTTAAGATAAACCCCAGGGATGTCCAAGGACAAATTCCCCTCACTAAGGAGCGACCGGGGAGGCACCGTGATGTGACCAGAGGACATAAGCCTGAGCCAGGCCAAGGCAGGTCAGCATCCAGATTGACTTGCAACCACTGTGACCTTGAGCAACTCACTTCCACTCTGGATCCTGGTTTTCTTGCCCATAGCATGTGTCACCTACCTGTCCAGGCTGCCGCCGGTGTCATGTAATGAACTGTGGGTCTGGTATCTAGCTCATGCATTCAGTGGCACTTATCATGTGCCAGGTACCGGCTGCCCCATCCAGACCCTGGGGTGCCAGTGCCGGCAAATCACAGGACTGTGCTGCACCTCAGTTTCCCCAGTTATGAACAAGGTCATTGCACTCTATAATTTCCAAAGACCTCTGGCTTGAACAGCCAGAAGATGCTGTAGCTTTTTACCTGGAACTTTGCCCCTGGCTATTCTGAAGTAAATTCTTACATATGATTTCTCAGCTGCAGGGGAATATATTCACTTATACCTGCAAGGGGAGAAATATTACCTCCGCACTACTGCTTTTATTACTCTAAAAAGGAGAATAATGGGACCCTACCTTTACTGCAACGATGATGGTCTGGTTGGTCCCAAATGGCTCTTGGGCAGTCACTTCAATGGTAGAAGTCCCAATTGTGGGCCCTGACACCAGGAAGCCTTTCTCATTAATGTGCACGATGGGAACCTTCTCGGGCCCATTCAGGACACGGTAGCTCAGAGATGCTGTGCCATCCCTTTGGAAAACAAAACAGAGCTGTTTACGTGTGGGCAGCCTGCCTCTTCAGTCACTAACAGGAACCTGATTTGGAAAACCAAAAGTTCCAAGGAAAGTATCTTTTCCCACTCTTCCAAGAACAGCTCCTCACATGGCCAGTCAACAGGGAGACAGACACCATGAGGGCTGATTTCCTTCCATCAGCCACATGGGACATTTACTGTAAAATACTGTTTCTGAGGCAAACTGTTTTCCGTTACTGAAATAAGGCAGCCTGGTGTAGCAGAAAGAAGGTGGGAGCTTTGAGTGGGACAGAACCCGGAGGCCGTCCCATCACCCTGCAAACAGCGGTGTGCCTTTAGGCACATCAGTGTGAACGGGAAGCAATGTCCTATTTCCAAGGGCGGGAACAGGGTGAAAATGAACTACTTGCTCAGAAAATGATCTGTGAAGCCACTGACATCATGTACTAGGTGGAAGACAAATCCTGCAGCATTCACATCCCTTACACACTCATTAACATCATAAAGAAAGGAAGGTGTGGTGCCCTAGCCCCGAAGACCCTCCTGAGAGGACTTTAAACAAACTCTGCCTCAACTTTCAACCCCCTCATCAACCTCTCCTCCTATGCAGAACTCCTATGCATCCTTCAAGACCCAGCTCAAGCATCTCTGTGACATGTCTTCCCTAACTCTTCACATGGAAGGCCCTTCTTTGGGCTGTGGCTTGAATGAAACTTCATTTCATTATAGCTTTTATCATGCTATCTTTTCCCTACCAAATTCCTTAAGGGCACCATGTGTCATCCACCTCTGTTCCTGGAACCTGGCACACAGCTTAACATTTAGAAAATCTGGTTAAATGAATACCATGTGTATGTGTTTCATGGAACATGTAAGTGCTCCTATGGTCCTCACTGCCCCCTATCTTGCAACAGCATTCCAATGCAAGTCATGGCTGCCAAAGGCACCCACTTGGAATGCAAGGTAGGAATTATGTCTGCAGAATGATTTAAAAGGTGTTTCTCAAACGTTAATGTATATTCCCATCACCAGAAGATCCTGTTAAAGTGCAGGTCTGGGGTGGTGCCCAAGATTTGCATTTTCTTCTTTTTTCCCCCCATTGATTTAAAAAAAATATTTTATTTATTTATTTCAGAGAGGAAGGGAGAGGGAGAGATAGGAACATCAATGATGAGAGCGAATCACTAATTGATTGCCTCCTGCATGCCCTCTACTGGGGATTAAGCCCACAACCTGGGCATGTACCCTGACCAGGAATCAAACCCTCACCTCCTGGTTCATAGGTCAACGCTCAACCACTGAACCAGACTGGCCCACCCCACTGATTTTTTTAGAGAGAGAGTTGAAGGAAGGGAGGAAGGAAGAGGAGAGAAAGAGAGAGAGAGAGAGAGAGAGAGAGAGAGAGAAACACTGATTGGCTGCCTCCAGCACATGCCCCAATCTGAAACAGGGATCGAACCTTCAACCTAGATACCTGCCCTTGACTGGGAATTGAACCCACGAGGACCCGAGATTTGCATTTTCACATGCTCCCAGTTGATGCCATGCAGGTCTGTGGACTATACTTTGAGTGGCAAGTCTTGAAGATACACAGGATTTGGAAAATTTAACACTTCCAAGTTAGTGCTTTTCCCCCTCTGAAGTACTGGATTTCAACAGCAGACATTAAACAGTTTTTAGGCCACAAGGAGGAGAAGAGGGCCTGCAGGTCTAAGTGATGAGGAAGAATGGGGATGTCCACACAGAGAGAAGGAGAAATGTGAGGCCACACCCATTTTAAAGGCAATGCCCAGTGTACCTGAGGCAGCCACAGCTGTTGACAACTTTGATAAACGAGTTACTGGACCAAGAACAGATTCATAACCTTGCTAAAAACCAGTTGTGTACCTGTTTGTCTGAAGCTTTATAAATGAGTTGGGTGACATTAGTATTTGTTCTGCTTCTATTTCTGGGTTCAGCAGCATCAGCTTTTCAAATACCTAAAACAGAGGCACATTTTATTTCCTGTGATATACCAGAATCATGTCTCGTATCTCCTGCTCTCTCAGCAGGGAGAGCCGAGTGTGGCGCACAGATGAGAAACTGCTGCCAGCAAGCATCTGTCTAGCTGGTGATGCACTGGTGAGGGCTGACCGCTAGGAGACACCAGAGGTGGGATGAGGGAAACAGGCAGGTGCATGCTGGGTACCCTGATGGGAGCTGCTTTACAGAGCCAGGGGCATGCTCTACCTCAGTCCCCGGGGGGTGCTGTTGAGGGAGGGGTGTGTGTGCACCAGGATGTATGTGCAAAAGGGAACATGGCCAATGGCACTGACTCAGCCTCACTGTCAAGGATACAACAGGGAGTGATGGGGCCTGTGGCAAACTGGAGAGCACAGTGCTGTTAAAGGGTGGCTGCTTCTCATCTCCTGCTGATTTTGCCATATGGCAAATGCATGTTTTCAGGATGAGCTGCATATTGGATTTTTATACAAAATCTTATTTTTAAATGTTGGCAACAAAGAAAAAATTGTTTCAAAGCACTGAGCCAAATAAAACACATCTGTGGGCTGGATCCAGCTTCTCTAAGTTTCTGATGCACTCAAAACTCCATCCGCTGTCAATGGGGGAAACCAAGTCAGAGAGAGACTGGAAGCTGCAAAGCCCGTCTTTAATCCCATGACAGGTGCTAGAACTTCATTCTATTTTAACCAATAGGAACATGTACTCATGTGTTTATGTATCTGCATGTATCTGTGTTTCTGTGCACATAGTTCTTGTCTGTATGTCTGTGTCTGTGCACATACGTGTGTGTCAGTGTCTGTGTACAATGCTCATGTGAGCCAAGTTGAGGGGGGCTGGCAAACAGGCATTTCCTTCTTGGAAAAACTGCTTCTTCACCCCTACTGGGGTATGTGCCCGGGTTAGAGATGGTTCACTTCTTCTTGAAGAGGGGGCTTGAACCCATTTCTTTTCTCTTAATAGTTAGGGGGTGCTTTCAGTTTTTCTTTGTAATTTAGGAGGACCCAGGGGTTGCTTAGCCCCAGATCAGCAGAAGAGGGTCCTTAAAGCTAAAAATGCTCTTCAGAGCATCAACTCTCCAGTTTGACAGAGGGGCCCAGAAGGGCAGAGGAGGCAGGAGGGTGGGTTGGAGAGATGCGGAGGCTGAGCCTGGGTGGGAGGAGGGCTGCTGGTCTCGGCTCCTGAATAGGTTGTGTACCCTCGAGGGCTGTGAGCAGACCACCTCCCTCTGAGGTGGGGGCTCATCTGTGAAGTGATGGGCCACACCATCTCCCAGGCCACCCACAGGGCCCACCACCCACTTACTGGGAGCTGGAAGGGCCGCTCCCCGCTCCCCGCCGTCTCCCCACCCCCGTGGGGCCCTAGGCTTATTGTCAAGGCAGCTCTTGCCCTCAGGCCTACGGGAGTTCTGGGAAACAGGAAACATGTCTAGCAGTCAGGTCCTCTAAGAGTGTTTGTAAAATAAATTCAGACAATATGTTAATGCCTGACTCAGACTATTTTCCAGCCTTTTCCTCCCATGAAAGTCAGAATGACTTTCTATTTTGGGAACACATCAAGCTATTTCAGACCCCCAGGCCTTTGCCCGTGCCGTCCATCTGCCCGGCTGCCAGCCGGTTCCTCCCACCCTGCCCGTGCCGTCCATCTGCCCGGCCGCCAGCTGGTTCCTCCCCCCTGAAATGCATTCCTCTGCGAAGCTCTCGGCAGCCACGTCTCTGGGCTCCCAGAGTAGCTCATACACCCTGACCTCGACCCCAGCGGACTGAGAACTGCTTGGGGTAGGGCCTGCCTGTGGCAGTGGAAGGGCTGACATGTACCTTCATGGCCCCTGAGGACAAGGGCACTGGGCTGGCACTTACTCTCCCTCTCACATGTGCTTCCTGCCCACCTGGCCTTTACCTGGATTTGGATCTCATCAGAGAGTTCTTTGGCGAGGCCATGCAGCTGCCCAGCTGTGGGGTCCAGAGCCTTGACCACCACCCTCAGCCCGGTCCGGCCTCTTACCCGGCCGTGCACGGTCATGGCAAAGTTGTACTGCGACGGGAGCTGGAGTGACGCCTGGGACAGACACCAAATATGTTTTCAGGGAGAGCCCTGGGGCCCCAGCACCCCCAAAGGGCGGAGCCAGACAGAGCCCCAGACTGTTCTCAAAGGCTGCTGCCTTCCTGCCCTGGTCAGGCCTGCTGACCCCAAGTGCGCAGACTGCAATCACCCAGGATGAGCCGAGTGCCCCATACTGAGTCACCGTGTTCATTCATGGGTGAATGCAGAAAACGCTGGGTCAACCCACCATAGCCAGCATTTCCACGCTGAACTTCTCAGAGCCTTTAGTGTGTGGAGGTGGTTATGAATCACCTAGAGCAGGGGTGGGCAAACTTTTTGACTCGACGGCCACAATGGGTTCTTAAACTGGACCGGAGGGCCGGAACAAAAGCATGGATGGAGTGTTTGTGTAAACTAATATAAATTCAAAGTAAACATCATTACATAAAAGGGTACGGTCTTTTTTTTTTAGTTTTATTCATTTCAAACGGGCCGGATCCGGCCTGCGGGCCGTAGTTTGCCCACGGCTGACCTAGAGCCATGGTCAGCAAACCGTGGCTCGCAAGCCACACGCGGCTCTTTGGCCCCTTGAGTGTGGCTCTTCCACAAAATACCACGTGCGGGCGTGCTGTACAGTGTGACTGAAACTTCGTGGCCCATCTGCAGAAGTCGGTATTTTGTGGAAGAGCCGATATTTTGTGGAAGAGCCACACTCAAGGAGCCAAAGAGCCGCATGTGGCTCGCAAGCCGCGGTTTGCCGAGCCGCAGTTTGCCGACCACTGACCTAGAGGGTCTCTAGGCTTGGCAGTGTTTCCCTGCAGAGCCCTCTGTTATGATGTCTGTGAAGAAGTCACTGCCCACATACCAAGGAAACTGCCTGGGGAAGTGCTGGCACTGAGGACAGAACCCTGGCCCTCCTGGGTGGCCTGGGGAAGACATCGCCCTATACTAGATGAGCTTTTGGCAGCCTCTAGGAAACTCCATCCCTGGGCCTGGCTCCTCCCCATCACAGACCCCCCCCCCCCCCCCCCCC